GAATACAACAAAACAGAGAAGGTTTATTGAAACAATCAAGAGTGTTGTACAGTAGGTCGACGTACGTCGACATGGAAAATATGGGCACCGTTCGGTCTTCCTATTTCCTGTACCGAGTCTACTCCACGAGACCACCTTATCCATTCGGGTTTTAATTGTAGACTGTCGATTTTCGGATGTGCAGCCATAAGCTGGACATCCGAAAAGTGATGATTGTGCGATTTTTCGATTTCCACATATTGGTTGCCAGGCCGCCTTTAGTTCTGACTTAGCGCATTGCTACACGCGTGAACTACTTGGCCTGGCGTTTCTCAATGGGGTCAGGAGACTCCTAGCACAACGGTGCTATAAAGTGTATGAAAAAGGTGACTAGTAGACTGAAGCAAGATATTCCGTGTGTATTAACAGCCATATAAACTCATCGAGACGTCGGAAATAGTGAGTTGCTTGTGACATCTAAAGAGTAACTCTTGAAGCGACTAACAATAACAAGTGCCGGGACGGCTAGGAACTGGTGACATCTATTAGGATTTATTGACACTCGACAACCGAATGATAACATGGTGTCCAGGTGCAATTTGTGTACGCACATGATTCCCGAAACTGACCTGGTTAAAACAGGTGCAGAGTGCAAACACGTATTTCATCCACGATCTGTAAAACAAGCAATGTCTCTTCAGACGTCAAGAGGAGCAAATAAAGCAATAAAAAAGCATTGTCCGGCCTGCAGCCGGCCTGTCATAGAGCAACAGTCAGTCTTACCTATTGGAGTGCAGACGCTGTTGCAATCGGTGGAAAGAAAGCTAGGGGGTATAGATCAGATGAATGCATCAATAATAGATCTCTCGCGTCGGGTTGATGCACTAACAGTAAGTAATGAAGATCTTAAGAAGGAAACTAAGGAGTTACGCAATGTAGTAGTCTCTATGAAAGCAGCCTGCGAAGATCTAGATAGGAAGACGACTGACAGATTCGATGCGTATGAAAAAAGGCTGAAACAGCTGGAAGCATCTACCTCAGGAGATAGTACGGGGGCATGTTACGCGGCCCAAGAACGGAGGCTGCTGAGACTGGAATCGAGATCAATGGCAACGGACTCAGTTGTTACTGGAGTGCCGGAAGAAGAAGACGAGTCACTAAAGGAAGTGGGGGTCAACATAGCACAGGTATTAGGGGTACGGTTAGAGAAGACTGAGGTACTGCAGGCTGTGCGGATGGGTAAGCAACGAACTAAGAGGGTTCGACCTATTTTATATCAACTGGCCATCCCCGCTAAGTGTGAAGAGATTATTGAGGGAAAAAAGAAAAAACGTGATCTGAGAGGGGCGGACTTTTCATCGAAATGGAATAATGAATTGAAAATCTATATAAACCGTCGCGTTCCGGCAGCGTTAAATAGACTTAGGCAAGAGGAGCTAATGAAGTATAAACATATCCCAGCACGCTCGGTGTGGATTGCAGATGGCGCGGTCTTCATACGAAAAGAAAAAGACTCCATGCCAATTCATATTGGATCTCTCGCGGAACTAGACTCTTTAATAGATTGACCAACACCCCCTATAGCCTCCAAGAAAATCACGAGGGAGAATATTCACACATTAAGAGCTTGTCACTTAAACGCGCAATGGCTACCCGCCCATATAGACGAATTTCGGTCCTTCTTTCTGAACAATCAATCTGATCTGATCGCTATAAGTGAAACCTGGCTGAATGAGAATATTACTGATGTCCAAATAACGCTTCCATTTTACACTGTCTTACGGAATGACCGAACTCATCGTCATGGAGGAGGTGTGGCGCTATATGTACGAGATGGACTAAAATCACGGTTACTAGCTGTATCACCAAGTGCCCAAGGAGATGTCCGACCGGAATATCTATTTGTAGAAGTTTGGGCCAAATCCCAGCCGAAAATACTGATCTCCGTAGCCTACCGACCCTTCAAGGCTGGTTTCCTGGATGACTTCGAATAAGAACTACAAACGCTAACGCCATCTTACAAAACTGTCTTAGTATTCGGGGATTTTAATGCCAACCTGCTTAGTAATAGTTTTGACTCAATGCATGTTAAAATTATATTATATAGCCATTATAACTCCCCGAAAAATACTTAGTATATGTAAATAGTAATCATACTTAGTCTCTCTGGAAAACGTAGCCTAAAATTGAAGTAATTTATAATATTAAGTTTGCCTAAATGTAAAATTGTTGTGGTTATGAGGGGACTCTGTCCTAGAGCCAAATAAATCACTAAATCTCTCTGTCTCTCTCTCTGTCTCTCTCTCTCTCTCTCTCTCTGTCTATCTCTCTGTCTCTTTCTCTGTCTCTCTCTCTCCTGTCTGTCTCTCTCTGTCTCTCTCTCTGTGTCAGCTGTCATGGCGACTAGGAGTTGTGTGCTATTTTTGTGGTCTACTAATATATGTTAAATACGGGTATCACTTTTAATAAAAATTATTGTGAAGTGACTGGTGTGTTGCATACAGAGTGTACAACGAATATATAGTGAAATATTCGTTGCTTGACCTGTTCGCTTCTCGTAACTTATATCTGAAATATTCCTATGCGACCATAGTGACTGTTACTTGGATTCAATTACTTCAACACTAGAATTGAACACTAACTGAGAATTTGAAAGTCTGAAACTTGATGCATCATGATATGCAGTTCTTGTGTGTGAAGTTTAGTGGGTTGCACTTTTATGCAGACTGAATCCTTGTCCCAGTGTATTTCTTGCTTCGTAACCGTTTAACGCCCTGAAAGATAATTTGGTTTATTGTTAATGACTAATGATAGTAATTAGTGACATTGACAGCTTCTTGAAATGTAAATATTGTCTACTCACTTGCTATTGCTCTACCGGCTAATGTGCGCTGCCTTACCGAGTGTCAGTTACGTTGTGTACTAATAAATCGTACAGTCATATCCTTGTTACCGACTGTCCTCACGTATGACTAGGGTAAATTGTTTCGGCTGCAAGCAGTACATGAAAAGTGAGAATGGTCTAAAATGCTTGGGATTTGGCTGGGATGCTTATGGTCACCAAAGGTGTATATTACGCAGTGGGTCGTCCGTGGCTCGCTTCCTCTGTGTCGACTGCAGATTAAAATATCCAGACGGACGGTCTGCTTTGGCTCTCCAACCTTCATTAAACGACGTTCAACAAATTGGATCTTGTAGTGTGTCCTCTGGCGTTGACCAGCATACTAGTATGGAACAGGCTCGCATCTCGTCGTCTCCTGACCTTTCGTCTATCGTAGATGCTTTACGTGGTGTCAGTGAGCAGTTGAAGGACCTTCCAACTATAAAGGAAAAAGTTACAGCACTTGACGGGCTTTATGGTATGGTTATCAGCTACGTCCTTAAATATTTCTAACGCTGTGAACAAGCTCACCAATAAACTGACTACCTTGAACGCTAGATGTCAAACACTTGAGGATCACAATGCTATACTGACGCGAAGGATTGACGAATTAGAGAGCAAAGGAGTTGGAACTTCGTCTTCGCTGACATGTTACGATTGTACATCTTTGGCGAGGCGCGTTGAGTACCTGTCTCAGCAGCTGCATAATACTGAACTTATCATCTCAGGGCTACCGGTCTGTCAGGAGGTACCTATCCTGGAACTTGTTCAGAAAGTGGCTGGTGCTATTGGTCTTGCTATTGCACCAAGTGAGATCATGGATGCCTTTCGACTACCTGCCAAAACGGGTGCTGCTCCTGCGCTCATAGTGCGCTTTGCCTCTACCATTAGGCGGGATGCATGGATAGAGAAGAAGAAGAGGAAGCCGATACTTCTGGTTTCTGACATAATTTCTACACTAGCTACATCCAAAGTCTATATCAACGAAAGACTGTCTGCTGAGAGGCTCAAACTTCTGGCTTTGGTTCGGGCTAGAGTCAAACCACATCCGGAGCTCAAGGCGTGGACTCATCATGGTGCCATCTTCGTGAAGAAAATCGGCTCGTCATCTTCCATCCGCATCGACCATGAAGATGACCTGGTGAAGATCTCATCATGACGGAGACCGGCACAAAATGTCCTTCCAAGCAAATTGGAGTGTAAAGACTTAAAAGTTTGTCATGTTAATGCACAATCGCTTATCTCCCATATTAATGAATTTCGTGACTACCTCTCTGTCAACCACTATCATGTTATCGCTGTGTCTGAATCTTGGCTTAAACCTCACATGCCGGATCATGTAGCCGAAATCCAAGGATACAATCTTTTTAGGTGTGACAGAATAGGTAGAGGAGGTGGCGGCGTGGCTATCTATGTTATCGCGTCATTGGCTGCTTCAATCGTTGCGTTCTCTGAAGGAGAGTATTGTTCTCGGCCAGAGTTTCTGTTTCTAGAAATTAAGTTTCCCGGTACTACAGGAATGCTATTGGGAGCTGTCTATCGACCTCCGAAAGTGGGTTTTCTTAGTGATCTTGAACAAATCTATGCTCGTCTTTCTCATGTTTATTCAAATTTACCCCAAATTTCAGCTCTTAATCTTAAATATTTTTGGAGTTATTTAAAAAAAAAATTATTTTTAGTTTTTTTTTTTAATAGTAATACTGAAAATTAACAAATGATGATTTTTTCTCAAATACTAAGAAGTAAAAGACATAAAAATAAATTTTTTCTATGATTCTCAAATATAAACCCACTTTTCTATAAAACAAATAAAACTAAAATAAATTTTTTTATTGGGCTCCTTCAGCTATGCAATCACCAAATTTTAACAAAAAACGTCTTTTCTACTCCTTTATACCCAGAATTTTTTTCAATTTTTTCGATAAATCGAGCGAAATACAATTTTCATAGTTTGCGTTATCCTTTCCGAGATAAGTCACGCTTACGCTCCTTCTTAATACTTTTTCTGTACTGAATATCTAAATTGATTTGAAATTTATTATTTAACTATTTGAAATGATAGATTGATTAGAGAAAAGCGCTAATCATCTATCGGATTTTATTTATATTATTTTCAGCGGATTGTTTTTCGAGAGAGGCTTTTCATCTATCGGCTGTTGATTACACTATCGGACTGTCCTTGTTGTTTATTTCTAACTAGTGCGTTCTCAATACAGCAGTACTAAGAGATTGGCCAATTTGTACTGTTAAAAGACTCATTGATCGCTGTAAACACGAAATATTATATAAGAGATTTTCATTCGCATTGAAGGTGTAAATCTATTTATGATGAAGTATGTTATATAGTACACATCAGTTAAATATGAAACTTATAAATAATATTAAAAAATAATTTGTTATAATTTGACAGATTTGTGTTGCCAGAAGTAACTGGAAAGATACGTAGTGCTGAGAGTGGTAATGATGCAGATAGTCAGGTACACGTTTTTCAAAATCTCCGCAAATATTTAACTTATAAGATCTTACATTCGTATTAAAATCAAATTCACAATATATGTTATTTAATTAGGTACACAGCATGTCATCTACAAGCGAGGAAGATTCTTGTGATGATGCTGAGAATGAGGATTCGAGGAAACTAAAGGAAAATCGTAATAATTCAAATGATAACCCCGATGAAAATATATTATTTTCTAGTGTCATTTCTTCACAGCGATCCAAAAAAGATCTCATCAAGTGAGTATTTGTAGAACTCGAATGGTGTGTTTAAGTAAATTGTGTAGGACTTGAATAGCAGATTTATACGATCGTTTTAGATATAGTCTCTTCTTTAAAGAACTTGAAAACTTGTACTCTCAACTGTCTCTTACTTGGACAATAACAGAGCAACCAAATGATCAAGACATAAAATATTCGAAAGACGAGAGAAAAATGCACGAAGCAAAATTCAAGCAGTTAAAAGTCATGTCGGAAGAAACGAAACTCATAGAAAACAATGTTAATATAAACAAAAATTACGAAACTGACTTAAAACGAGTTAGTGCAATCTCCACAAATGTTAGCAACGAGCACGCTTATTGTGCTCTTGCCAGCATGGTCAAAAGCGTCATTAATTTTGTTAAAGTAGCATACCCTGATTTAATCGGTGGGGATAGTCTAGGCAAACTTGAACCACTAAATGCCAAAGATAGAAAGGTGTGCAGATCTAAGTTATTAGCTTGTGCAGATAGAGCGTTACGATTTGATAATTTAATGCAAGAAACAGCCTACGATTTGGACGCGTTAACCATGAATAATGTGACTAATGGCAAGATGAAAACTAATGATCAATTGCTATGTAATTGGGATTTGAAGAGAATAGGCAAGCACACCAATGATTCAAAGCAGTTGCATTTCGAATCCAGATTTGAGAGTGGTAATCTGAGGAAAGCAATACAGGTATGCAATACTTACTCAATTTTGGGGATTTTACAGTTTTTTTATTTGCGAACAATACTTTTATTGTAGATAGCGCCAAGAGAATATGATTTAATATTGACACCGGATGTCAATAGCGGTTCCAGGCATCAATGGTTCTACTTTGAAGTGTCTAATATGGAAAAAAATGTCCCGTATACGTTCAACATCATTAATTGTGAGAAAACAAATTCTCAATTTAACTTCGGAATGAAGCCTCTCTTATTCAGCGTGACAGAGGCTCAGCTTGGCAATATTGGCTGGGTGAGAGCAGGCGTTGACATTTGCTACTACAGAAATTATTATCAACAACCGTCCAAGGAAAAGAATTATTTAACGACATCTTTTACTATAACATTTCCTCATTCCTATGACGTCTGTTACCTTGCATATCATTTTCCTTACACTTATACGCAATTGTTGATCAATATATGGAAGTGGTCGAAGAAACAGACATTGGAAGATATTTACTTTAAAGTAGACACCTTATGTAACACCTTGAATGGCAACGAAAATCCACTTGTAACTATCACTTCTCCTGAGTCAAAAGGAAATCTCATAAAAGTAAGCTTTTTACTGGTTGGCATTTTCGACAGCAGGATAACGAAAAATGTTTTTGTTCATTCAGTAAATCTTAATTGCAGAATCGAAAAATTATTTTTCTCACGTCCAGAGTTCATCCTGGCGAGAGTAACGCATCTTGGATGATGCATGGTACCTTAGAAACGTTATTGGGCAGTTCCACATATGCAAGGAGTCTCCGTGACGATTACGTTTTCAAAGTGATTCCAATGCTGAATATTGAAGGGGTTATCAATGGCTGGTGAGTATTATATTTTGTAAACCATATTTAAAATGCCTACTATGGTCTTTAAAAAGGAAATTTGAGTAGTGTTGAATATATTGTTACGATCGCTCCCTGAAACACGTGGAATATAGTTATGTTTTACGTTTAATATGAGAAAGGAACGATTGAGAGTTATGAAGATTCAGTGAATGTTGATTTAGAAAAGGTAGTTAGGATGGTCGGTTGGTCAGATTTGCCGGTATTAAACGGTACGTCCACGCGTTAGGTCGGCCCTGTTTTTGACTGATTATTTCTTGCTACCACATGCCACTTGTATAGTATTACTACAAGACGGGTGCGCTATCCGACTAAGCTGCTTGATTTAAATCTAATTTAAGACATTCGGTTTCTAATGATTGCCTAAAATCGTTAGTATGTCCACGTGATATGTTACTTGTTCCAGAAGATAAAGAATCGGAAGGAATAGGAAATAGGTTCCAGGGAATTTCCCGATCGGTATCAGGAGGTTTGTTCCCTGAGTCTGATATGGTATCCTGATTTATGGAACGAGAATGAAATTTAACTGAACGAACTGATTGTTTCTTTGCTAGGGTACTCTTGATCCGTTTTATGTAAGTTAAATATTCTGAATAAGAATGAATTTTTGTGTGTACCTGATTATGTGTAAATGTACTCATAGGCCTACGCCAATGATTCCCAAGGAATTCAACTGTTCCTTATTTTATGATTTCTGTGGAAGTAGGACCGGTTCAGTGAGATGGCTTGGATGGGCCCTTAGTTCAGATGAGATTATAGCAGGGTTTTGTAAATGATTGTAGTGATGATGTTTCACAAAACTCATAGAATAGAGTCGCCAGGTATGCTTCACTTGTTTAAACTGATTCGAATGATTATTCTTAGACTTGACTTTGATATTTAACTTCTGTATATAAGAACTCCGAAGAACTAAATTGAAGATGAAAAGACTACGAATCTTTAGAACTCTAGACTTCGACTTCGACTTCTCCTTATACTTTGAACTTGTCTTACAAGAACTCCATATACAGAACAACTTCTATCGTCTCTCCAACCCTATTTAACAACTTCGTTTCTTATCTCTTCCATTACTTCTTCTGAATTTGATTGGTCTTTGATTCCGTTTCTTATTGATTAGTTAACAAACCAGAACACTAACAATTATCTGTCTGTTGCTGCATACCTGAGTCTTCCAATTCTGTACCTGAAACCTCGCGAGTACTGCTGGTTTCGAGGAGTTTCAGGTCTATCTTTTATTTAAAGATATAATAAAGAATTAGTATGACAGATTCTTTATGAACATAATGCCTGATAGATAATAATAAGCGTAACATTTTCCGGTCGTATAAAAGATAACATAATTCATAATTGAGGATTCCAACAATATGTATAAGCGAAATATAAAACAAAGCAAAAATGTAAATTAATAAGTATAAATCATAGGAATTAATTATATTAGACGATTGGTCGACTTATATACTTGTTTAATAGCGTCGGTAAAGATAATGCATATGTAGTGTGTATAGTATATGTATGGGTTGGGGTATAGCAATATATGTGGGTTGGCCATGGGTATAAGTGGCTGTGTATATGTATAGGTGGGCGAATTTCGTATACAAGAAGGCTGAGACGTTCAGACGTAACAATATGTATTGTAACGCATTTCCTGGCCTACGTCCTATCTACGAATCCAACGTGGCGTTCCGCGGATCCCTTGGGCGCCAGGTGCATCCTTGCACCAGTCCGACTCGTCGGGCCTTTAATTTCTCATCCGCGGAACGTCAACTCCGGGAGTCTTCTCGACCGGATCTTTCCGGTAGCTCCTAATCCTACATGGTAGAGGGGAACGTGAGGGCGGCGAGTATCTACAGGAATCAGCCGGCTCCTTTGGCAATAACTAACACGGTGGGATTTAATTCCAACAATGGCCCTTTATTTTGCCTAGGTAAACGAGTACAGTCGGGTGATGTATACGAGCGCGGCTCGATACAATTCTAATACACAACGCGGTCGCAGAGGTCATCTCTGTTGACGGTGGACGGTTCGAATCTGCAACCGCCAGGACACGTGGCGAGGCTCGCAGCCCCCCACTCCTCGTGCCAAGATGCACCGGCGGATTCGCTTCATTCCCGGTTGCATGGCTTCGGGGCGGTTGCCTAAACTGCACTTACCGATTCTTCCGATGCACCGTACCTTTCTTCCTCGCCTCGCGGGTGGTGGTGGTTGGCAATTTTCCTCCTCGTCGGCCGTCTTCTCCCTCTGTCACTCTGAGTTCCGTAGGAGCGCCGACGTCGTCGATTGATCCAATTTTCCATATCCCGTCCGGGGAAAAGCCATGTTGCCCAACAGGTCCTGCAAATCTCACATACTCTCACCACACTCAAACCAGAAAAATCGCGATACCTTATCCGCCAATTTTCGATATTCCCGTTCCGCGGTTCACAACGAAGTGGCCTCCCTTCCGGCCCCCGGTTCGAGGATTCCCGAAGAATCCCGGGTTCACCCGAACTCGTGCGTTTATTCTCGCCTCGGTCCGCTCTTCGCGTTTCGGCTCTCACAGCCCGTCAGTCTTCGGGTGGCGCCGATCTTACCCGAGCCCGCCCGATTTTTGGACTCGGTGGTGCCGGTTTCTCTCCCCGGCTTCCCCTTGCCAGGAACCTCCGTCGTCGTAGGCATTCTCTTGGCGGCTTTCGTCGGCGCCATGGCTCTCCGTGCCCCTACGCTTTTATGTAACGTGGACGGCCGTCCCACGGACGCCACGTTACAGTATATGAACAAAATCTTCGCATTATTAAATATAATTGGTGGAATTGTTAATTATGTCAGAAATAATCAACTGCATCTTATGCCGAAGACGGAATATTCCGTGCAGAAAACGTCCTTGGGCGCATCCATGGCGCTATCCCCCCCCCCCCC